TTAAAGTAATAGAGCACCGTAATGCAAAAAATGGCCTGCTCAGGAAGGGGGGTAAATCCCCTGGAGGGCAAGTGGTTAAAACACATATTTTGAACTAAGGGGTGAGTGTCTGGCAAATATTATTATTATTATTATACAGGACTTATATAGCGCCAACAGTTTGCTCAGCGCTTTACATTATGGAGGGAGACAGTACAGTAACAATACAGTTCAATACGAGAGGGATTAGAGGGCCCTGCTCCTTGGAGCTTACAATCTAGGAGGGAGGGGGTAATGGTACAAGAGGTAATTAGCTGTGGGGGATGGAGTGGTAGGAGGAGTAGTTGATTCCAGTATTAGCTGGGCTCGGGGTAGGCTTCCCTGAAGAGATGGGTTTTCAGAGTGCGCCTAAAGGTGAGCAGAGTAGGCGACAGCCTGAAAGCTTGGGGTAGGGAGTTCCAGAGGATGGGTGAAGCCCTTGAGAAATCCTGAAGACGCGCATGGGAGGAGGAGACAAGGGAGTTAGAGAGTAGGAGGTCTTGCGAAGAGCAGAGAGTACGGTTTGGGTGGCATTTAGAGACAAGTTTTGGTGATGTAATTAGGGGCAGTGTTATGAACGGCTTTGTACATCAGTGTTTTTGAATTTTATCCCTTGGGCAATTGGAAGCCAGTAGACGGATTGGCAGAGAGGGGTGGCAGATATAGAGCGGTTAGTAAGGTGAATGAGTCTGGCAGCAGCATTCATGATGGACTGGAGTGGGGATAGCCTGCGATGAGGTAGGCCAGTGAGGAGGGAGTTACAGTAGTCAAGGCGTGATATAATAAGGGAGTGAATGAGTTGCTTAGTGGTTTCCGAGGTTAGGAAGGGTCGTATCTTGGGGATGTTGCGGAGGTGTGGTTTACATGAGTTTGTCAGCGATTGGATTTGGGGCTGAAAGGACAGTGTTGTTGATCTTGATGGAGAAGTCGGGGGGGGGGGGGCATGGGCTGGGGAGAATACTAGGAGCTCAGTTTTGGAAAGGTTGAGTTTGAGGAAGTGGAGTGACATCCAGTCCGATGTGTCACTTAGTAGGCTGGTGATGCGATTGGAGACTGAGGGGGTGAAGTGAGGGGTAGAGAGATAGATTTGTGTGTTTGTCAGCATAGAGATGGTAGTTGAAGCCGTGGGAGTCTATCAATTGGCCAAGGGAGGAGGTGTAGATGGAGAAGAGGGAGGGGGTCCAAGGACAGAGCCTTGAGGGACACCGACAGAGAGAGAGAGTGAAGGGGAGGTGGCAGCGTTATAGGTAACACTGAAGGAGCGCTGCGATAGATAGGAGGAGAAACCAGGAGAGAGCAGAGTCTCTGAGGCCAAGAGAGTGCAGTTTTTTTGAGAAGGAGGGGGGTGGTCAACCGTGTCAAAAGCCGCAGAAATGTCAAGTAGTAGGGAGTATAGTATAGTGGCCATTGGTTTTGGCAGTTAGTAGGTCATTGGTGAGTTTGAGTAGGGCAGTTTCGGTGGAGTGTAGGGGGCGGAAGCCGGACTGTAAAGGGTCGAGAAGGTTGTTGTCGGTGAGATGGGAGCTCAGGCGATTGTAGACTAAGCATTCTAGGAGTTTAGAGGTAAATGGCAGTAGGGAGATGGGTCTTAGGTTGTTCAAGTTGGAGCAGGGACGGACTGGCCATTTGGAAACTTGGGCACTGCCCGAGGGCCCGGGGTCAGTAGGGGGCCCCATAAGATGCCCTGGTACCTTTTTCATAGGCTTTTTTGAGTTTGGGCAAGGACACAGGAGCCCCATGATCCCCTATTGCCCGGGGGCCCCATGAGTTGTCAGTCTGAGTCCCCTGAGTCGGAGGGGTCCAGGAAGGGTTTCTTAAGTATGGGAGTGATGTGCACGTGCTTTAGAGGGGAGGGGAAGATACCGGTGGAGAGGGAAAGATTGAAGATGTGAGTGAGGGAGCATAGGATGGAAGAGTAGGAGGACCGCAGGAGTTCTGAAGGAACAGGGTCCAGGGGGCAGGTGGTAAGGCAGGCTTCGGAGAAAATCTTAGTGACCTCTTCGGTGGTAGTGAGGTCAAGGGAGCAAAGTGTGGAGGGGGTTATTGTGTGAGGAGTGCTAAGTGGGGTGGGTGTCTGAGCAGTGGCGAAGTCCCAACGAATTGCATCAATCTTGTTTTTGAAGTGGTTGGCATTCTCGATGGCGGCAAGTGAGGTACTGGTGGAGGTGGAGAAAGTAGAGCGTTAAAAGTGGAGAAGAGCCGGCGAGGACTGGAGGAGAAGGTACTGATGAGGGTAATAAAGTAGGCTTGTTTGGCAGCATGAAGGGAGGAAGTGTACGTTAAGAAGGCAGATTTATAGCGGGTGAACGCTTGTTGGGATTTGGTTTTACGCCATAGTCGCTCCAGTGCACGACTATGTCGTTTGAGGTTTCTGGTGTGGTCGGTCTGCCAGGGTTGTAGCGGTCGAGACCTAATGCTTTGTGTTGGTGGGGGTGCGAGTGAGTCTAGAGCGGCTGAAAGCGAGTTGTTGTAGATAGCAGTGGCCAGGTCAGGGCAGGACAGGGGATGGATGCTGTCGTAAAGTTGGTCAGTTGCAGAGTGGAAGGGAGCAGAGTTCCAGTTCCGGAGGTTTCTGCTGGTAATTGTTTGCCATTTGGAGGGATAGGTGTTTGAGGACGAGGAGACGGAAAAGGTGATGAGGTTGTGATCGGAGAGAGGAAAGGGTGGTGTTTGTGAGGTTGCAGGGAGTGCAAAGGTGAGAGAAGACAAGGTCAAGAGTGTTCCCGTCAGAGTGGGTGGAGGACTGTATGCACTGTGCTAGTGCAAAAGAAGAGGTTATGTGGAGGAATTGGGATGTAGCCGGGTTATTGATGTTGAAGTCTCCGAGAATGATAGTGGGTAGCTCAGAGGAGAGAAAGAAGAGTAGCCAGGCGGCAAAGTCGTCAAGAAAGCTGGACACGGGTCCAGGAGGCCTATAGATCACTGCAATCCTCAGAGAGATTGGAGAGAATAGCCGGATGCAGTGAGTCTTGAAGGAGGAGAAGGATAGAGAGGGAGGGTTAGGGAGGACTTGGAAGGTGCTCAGTGGTGACAGGAGCAAACCAACCCCACCACCTTTCCGACCACTGGGTCTGGGTGAGTGGGTCCAGATGAGACCTCCATAGGAGAGTCTATTAGTGTCGCTGGGGATGTCAGTGACAGTTAGTCAGTCCCCCCCCCCCGTGTCAGAATGCCCGCTGCAGTCCCGCTATAAATCACTGATCGCAGCCATTACTCGTATGAAAAAAAAAATACAGTATATATACTGCCATTTGTAGACTCAATAACGTTCACATAAACCAATTAATTTACACGTATTGGGGTTTTTTTTTTTTAGCAAAGTCATGTAGCAGAATACATTTTGGCCTAAAATTGTAAAAAATTTGATTTTTAAAATTTTTCACTGGACATGTTTAATAACAAAAAAGTAAAAAAATAGTTTTTTTTTTTTTCAAAATTGTTTGTCTTTTTTTGTCTATAGCGCAAAAAATAAAAAATGCAGAGGCATTCAAATATCGCCAAAAGAAAGCTCCATTTTTGGGGAAAAAAAGGACATACATTTAATTTGGGTGCAGTGCTGCATGACCGCGCAATTGTCAGTTAAAGTAACGCACCACCGTAATGCAAAAAATGGCCTGGTCAGGAAGGCGGGTAAATCGTCTGGAGGGCAAGTGGTAAAAACACATATTTTTAACTAAGGGATGAGTGTCTGGCAAATATGACATTTTCTGTTTAATAAATAGATTTAATATTATAGCCATCTTAAGATTTTGCTGGCTGGCTGCATATATGAAGGGAAGTCTTATTGGGGAATATGCTTTGTACTTCATAAGTAAAGGAAAATGTTTGTGAAAAAACTGTAATTGTATGGTAAAGGCCACATTTGTTACCCTATAAAGAATCTCTAGGCCTTAGGTTGGTTTATTAAGTCTTTTTATGAAATGGTTTCTTTAATGCCATTTTCCTTTTAATAGCTTGGTTCTTTTGCATGAGTCACGTTATATTTTAGCTTTATTTGTCCTTTAGCAACCTTTCAAACCTTCATTAGGTTGCAGGCTATAGAGACAATAATGTACTGTTGCCTAACCAAAAATGAATCTGCAAACTACCGTGGTAGAATTTAAAACCTGTGACTGCTTACTGTAATTAAGGTGGAAATGTATACAAACTGAACTACATAAAACTTTACCAGGTATTAAAGTTTCTGATCATAAACACATTTAGTTTATCCAAGAGACCTGCTCTTTTTTCTCTGTACTGCCCATTGTTAGAATGTGAACTTCAGAAAGGAAAAGGGGTAAATCAGGACATCCACCTCCCCTGGCACAATTTAATAATCTGAAATTGTATTTACTGAAAATAAGTCTAAGCAGCTTATTGTCTTTCTTCAGGGATTTTTCAACCAGGGGTGCCGCAGAAAAATGATATAGCCCTTGAGGCTAGGTTCACATCTGTGCGGGTGGTGCAGCTGCGGATCCACATGAAAATCTGTGCAGCTGCACCACCCTCACAGATAAATGTGGACCCGCAGGCAGGTTCCATTAATTTTAATGGCACACTGCCCGCACTGTAAAAATGCAACTGTACTGCGTACCGAGGTTCCCGTGCAGGCCACATTTTCCAGAGAAGTGCAGGGACTTCTTCCCTGCGTGTCATGGGGCACAAGAGTCCATTCAAATGAATGAGCTCTTGTGCCTGCGCAAAACGCGGCCCGCACGGCTGCATATATGTGAGCCAGGGCTTACAATCAAATCATTAACTTGTTGCCGACCGCAGATAGCCGAATGACGGCTGCACTGCGGCCGGCCAGTTCTGAGTGGACGTCATATGACGTCCCCCCCAGAACGCGCTCTCCTGCACGCCCCAGGGGGCGCGCACCCGGCGATCTCCGTGATCGCTGTGTCCTACGGACACAGCTGATCACGTGATGTGGTAAAAGGCCAATCACAGCGGCCTTTTACCACCTGATCAGCGGTGTCCAATGACACGTTGATCAGAGGGAAATGCAAGTGCCGGTTCTCGGCTGCACTTTCCTCACGCTGTCAGATCGTGAGGAAAGTACTGCCGAGAACCGGCAGTTGTCAGAGCGGGGATCGGCACCGATCATCAGAGCACTGATGATCAGTGGCCTGATGATCGTTGCCCAGCAGTGCCACCCGCAAGTTCCGCCCACCTGTGCCCAGCAGTGCGCCCACTAGCTCCGCCCACCTGTGCCCAGCAGATCACCCACCTGTGCCCAGCAGTGCACCCACCTGTGCCCAGCAGTGCACCCACCTGTGCCACTCTGCAATGTCACACACCTGTGCCCAGAAGTGCCACCTACCTGTGCCCAGCAGTGCCACCCAACTGTGCCCACCCACCTGTGCCCACCAGTGCCACCCACCTGTGCCCACCCACCAGTGCCGCCCACCAGTGCCACCCACCAGTGCCGCCAGTCAGTGCCCAGCGGTTGTGCCAGTCAGTGCCGCCAGTCAGTGCCCAGCAGTGATGCCAGTCAGTGCCGCCAGTCAGTACCCATCATCAGTGTCGCCTATCAGTGCTGCATATTAGTGCCGCCTATCCGTGACACGTCATTAATACTGCCTATCAGTGCCCTTTAGTGCTGCCTATCAGTGCCCATCAGTGCCGCCTATCAGTGCCCATCAGTGCTGCCTCATAAACGCACATCAGTGAAGGAGAAAAATTACCTGTTTGAAAAATTTTATAATAGAAACAAAGAAACTTTTTTTTTTCAAATTTTTGGCAATTTTTTATTTATAGCGCAAAAAGTAAAGCGCCCAGTGGCGATTAAATACCACCAAAAGAAAGCTCTACTTGTGAGAAAAAAATGATCAAAATTTCATATGGGTACAATGTTGCATGACCGCGCAATTGTCAATCAAAGTGCAGCAGCGCTGAACGCTGAAAATTGGCCTGGTAAATAAGGGGGTATAAGTGCCTGGTAGGCAAGTGGTTAAAGGGTTACTCTGTTAACATCTGCGTACAGAGAAGAGGGAGAGAGCCAGGGGCAGACTGACCATTCGAGCACTCTGGCACTGTCCAAGGGCCCGGGGTCAGTATGGGGCCCCATGAAATGCCCCTGGTACTTTTTTATAGGCTTTTTTGAGTGTGGGCAAGGACACAGGGGCCCCATGATCCCCTATTGCCCGGGGGCCCCATGAGTTGTCAGTCTGCCCCTGGAGAGAGCACACCTTGGAGTTCCTCCTAGCTATACTGTTATCTGTACTCTTGCTGGAAAAACTGAAAGCTGTTCAAACTGCCTGCCAACCGATGTTGTCATAGATTGCGAAGGACAGGTTAGTGGCTTGCACAGCTTCCAGTTTGCCAGCATGGAGGAGAAGAGAGCTGTGACAATCTACAGGGGTTTGCTATGTGCCTCTTCTCTGTACAGAGATGTTAACTGAGCAACCTTTTCATCATATGACTGTAAAGGGATTGATTACCTCCCCCTATATCCAGGCAACTTATGTCCCATGCGTGGGGGCAGTAATCTAACCCTGCACAGTCCTGCACAAATCTTTCCCCTGCAGGGAATTGAAGGGATTTGTGCTAGCAGTGGATTGGTGGGGATGCTTTACAATATGCAGACCACTTAACTTTACCTTACAAACTACATTTTAGGGCTTTTTCAAAGTGCAGGAATGCATATGAATTCAAGCATTTTCCTGCACCGCACAAAAATGTGCTGCCTCTTGCAGATGCATGGGGTGCCATTAATTCTTAATGGCACCTCCATGCATCCACCATTTACATGTACGTTTGCACCCAACAAAACGCATGGTATCGCAGAACTATACATTTTGATTGGAGCAGGATTTTAAAATTCATGCCAGCACCTTTTTTGCATGTTTTATGAGAATAGAGCAGCCTATTAAAAAACACAATACATGGGAACACGCAAAAAAGTGCTCAATATCAGATGCACCTTCTTGTGTGAATGAGCCCTCAGACTGGTGTGTCCCAGGATTGTGCACAATTCTAAAGGGTGTCTTGACTGAAAAAAGTATGCGTTTGTTCTTTCAATTATGTATTTTGAATTCATCCATGTTTGTAAGATGCTAATCCAAGGAAGGAAAGTACTGCATGAGCCAGGTAACATATGCCACTATTAGTGAACTGCATTTCCTGACATGCTATAGGCTGTGCTATGAGGTGGGAAAACTCAGAGATGAATTCTGGGCCATTATTCTAGGCTATGAACCACTTCAGAGTGCTTTCAATGAAGCATGAGGGAATTGATTACTGATGACATTGGACTGCCAAAGAACAGTTGGGTGATCATCCACAAAGTACTTTTCAGATTAACGGTAGTGACTGATCACAGGAAACTGTAATGAAAGGGTCAATATTCCTAACAATTGTAGACCAGTTACACAACCACTGATCATTAACAAGCAATAATGAGCACAATATACAGTATGATATTAGTGAAGTCCTGAGAGCATGCCTGTAGTTAGCTTTTACTAAACTGCTAGCATTTTTTTAACCAACATCTGCAAACCAACTGAAATGTTTCCATTTCTTTCTTTTGAAGAATTCCAACTTTTGTGGAACCACTAACAGTAAAATGCAAAAATCAATATAGAGACTATAAGCTTGTTTCACTTTTGTTTTTCTTTAGCATTCAGTTTGCTTTTTGTCACTCTGTATAAATCCATCATTGTAACTGAGGGTGCAGTAATGACCACTATCAATGCTGGTAAAGCTTGCTTTTAGCTTTACTGACAGCAATTCAGACCATTCTGAAAGTAAATTAAAGCCCAACTCCACCCAAAAACTACATTTTACCCATAACTCCCTCTGACACTCCTCTAAATCATGCTTCCCAAAGTAAAGTTTTTCTTACCTTTTTGAAGTAAGTTATTCTCGCCTGAGTTCCCTTATTGGCACCGTTTCTTCACTGGCCAGTTCCCTTTACTCTCATGAGTCCAACATCATCTCTCTTTGCAATCTTAACAGGACCACTCCACTGGTCAGCCAACGGGAATTGTCCACATCAAGCAGTAAACTGAAAACCTAGAAGAAGTACTCCTCCAGGAAATACACAGTGAGGAGAAAAACCTGGTACTGGATGATCACTTGATCGTGAGTTCAAGTAAGTGAAAACATGGTTTAGAGAAATTTGGGTGGGAGGGCTGGCAGAAGGCTTTAAAAACAAACAGCCACATAATTGTTTTTTTCTCCATTCCTGCACCCCCATTTCTTATTCCTGGAATTGCTTGGCATCAGATGTGACCTTAATGTCCTCATCCTGTTATTGACTGTGTGGAAATAATTTGACTTTTTAGTATTAACAGGTTGATAGATGATGCCTGTAGAAGGGCATTTATTTAGCAACTCGGTGACAAAATTATACACTAATCAGGCTGTATTTCATATAGTAAAAAAGGTGAAATTTTCTGTGTATTTTCAACCCTTCTAGATTGAAATCTAGGTAGCAAACCCATAATTGAGAAGTAATCAGGGACAGGTTTTTTACTGTCCCAGAGCTACCTTAAGGCAGCAGAGGGAGGAATTTATGAGTAGCTAACTTTTTATAGTTAAGCTGGCCATATATGACTTGTATAAAAAAAAAAAAAACTGATTCTTCCACACAAGTGAAGTGGATGAACAGATGCAGCAAAAGTTCTCCAACATTCCCATTCAACAAAGAGTTGATCTAACATTTGACTTCTGTTTAACAGGAACAACTCAAAATTTGGCTGGTCTCTACTGAATGGGTGAATGTCCATGCAGCTATGGCCGGCTTAAATTTGTGTCATGATCTGTCTTAATACACCTGTTCAACATTACTTTACAATATGACAGAATTGATAAATGTCCCCTATAGTGTTTTGCTGCCAGGCAAGTGATAAAAGTTTCTCCTGGGTTCTAGGGACCATTTATAACATTTTTATACTTACATATAGCAAATAGAAATCATAAATGCAGTACCTCAGAATGGGGTATAGTACATAAATCACAGCATATGTATTGTTTGGATCAAGGCTACCACTGGCAGTATAAAGAATGTATTAATATTTGTGGCATCATTGTTTGTTTGTATTATTTATGCAACCTGGCTGTATACAAAGAGTGGAACATGTATGAAGTACCATTCACTTACAGCAGAAAGAACTCAAACTTAGACTTGATAGTTGTACTACTGTATGCAAATGGATGAACTGTATACACAGAATGGCTTGCACCCTAAACAACAGTGCCTGGGTGTAAAAATGGAAGACATCCATAATACAGACTGGATCTTATTTAGAAAACATTTCAAATGTAGAAGTCTGTATTGATCACAAGAACTTCACAATATATCAAGCAGTTGCTTTAAAAGGGGAAGTAAAAGTTTCATAGAAAAAAAAAAAAATCTACTTGCCTAGGTGGATGCAGCATCGGTTTGATGTCACCTAGATTGTAAGCTCTAATGAACAGGATCTCTGTTTCCTCTTGTACCAAATGGTACTGTAACTGTCATGTCTACCTTAATTTTGTAAAGTGCTGTGCAAACTGTTGGTGCTATATAAACGCTGTATAATAATAATGTTGCATCTCACTTCTCTAAGACCGAGAAGTGAGTAATCAAACACCGCTGATTGATCAGCTCTCAGTCTGCAGACTGTCAGCCACCACTCTGTGCTTTACCCTTCCAGTGCTCACTGGAGAATTGGGCTGTGGAAGGGGTGGGAACTGCTGGCTCAGGCTCTCAGGGGCTCACTGAAAGGCAGAGCCAGCTGTTGATCCAGGCATCTGAGTGGATCCTGACCATATGATTGGAATCTTTTCAGAGCCTGGACTGGCTTTCCTGTGATCCATAGGAGAAGTACAGACAAAAAAAGCTTTGGTTACTCTTTCCCTTTTAATTACAAATTGTTTCATTATATGTAGCTCATCATGTAGCATACTACTGAAGTGTTAAGTTGTACTCTTTTTTTTGTTCAAGCAAGTGGGCTCTTTTGTAAAAAATAGATATCCTTGTAAATGGCTACATTAAGAGGTAAAGCATCTTTTGAAAGCCTCTTCTGTGGCTTGGCGATAATTATGGAAAGACAACAAGTTATGATGCTGTATAACCAACCTCTGGCCTTTTTTATGAAATCGTCTGGGAAAGAATTGTCTAATTGAGTCTGTGCGACCTCATACCAAGCAACACAATTCAAACCTGAAATAGAAAATGACAGCTAGATAATGAAAGATTGAATAGAGCTCTTTCTTTGGAATATATTGTATTTATCAAAGTGTCTTAAGGAAAATTTGTACATAATGTAGCCCATACTGTAGAAACATCAATTTTTCCACTTCATTCTACCAAGAAAAGAAAAAGAAGATGAGACCTATTTGTTGAGGGAATAAAAAACAAGCCTCTACTCTAGAATATATGGCCATT